GTTTTCTGGGGCAGCTTACAAGTTCTGAAATCCCACCTGTATCTCCAGAACAATCACTGAATAGGGATAGGCAAAAGCTATGTCTCCAAGCGCCTGAAAAACTGACCATAACTTTTCCGCCAGGCTATCAGCTGGAACTCCACTAATGCTGCCCAAGAACTTCCCGTTTTCTGCAATATAAGTTTTAGTTTTCCATAAGACGATGCACGGTAGTAACTGTTTCCACATTCCAGAGGACACTGGAACGAAAAAGAGAATACTCGGTTTCACTGATTATTACCAATAACTTTTGCGAGGCCAAGTGCTAATCCAATGAAAGCATAGCAGGAGGACATAACAGCGGCAATGACAGACAGCCAAGTCATGTTATGGAAATTTGGTATCTGAGACATTACAATTTGAACCGCCCCAAACATTAGCATGAAAGTAGAATTATCATGCCCGCAGTTGGCATGGTGCCCTTCTCTGTGGTAGCAGTTTGACTTCTGTATTGCACTGCAACATTTTTTTTTTTTTTTTTTTTTTGTGTTCCAAGTAGAAAAATAGCAGCAGCAAACGTTGTATTAGTCCAACCTGGCTCAAAAAATTAAATATGCAGCCCAAGAAGAAAGATTCTAATTTTTAAAGAGCCGAGGAGGCCTTAGTATTATGGCCAAAGTTACGACTCGAGGATGAGGTCCAAAGATTCTAATTAAAGAGATTCTAATTAAATAGTAGGGGAGGATGAGGTCCATCTTTCCCCAACTATTAAAAAAAAAAAAAAGATTCTAATTAAAGAGTGAAAATAGCCAAAAGAAAAAAAAGTTTGAAGTATGCGAGTTTTTTTTTTGTTGACAAAATCTCCTTTCGGGCAAGGTAAAATCAGTTCTCTTCAATTTGAATTTCATGCATAAACTTAGAGAGCAACAAAACCAAATCATAAACTGAATGAGAAAAGGTCCAAAGATTTACGTTGAATTGTAGTTGTAGACTAGAGCATACAACTGCGTGTGTACACCTACCTTACCTAACACTTTCAGTTGCCGTGATGGTATATGCAATACCAGAGCCACATAAACTCTCTACCGCGAAAAGTACACATATCCGTCGCCTCTTCTCTCCTGAATCACATTTCGATCCACCCACTTAAAACTTGGAGTTAGTAATTAGTCTAATCAATCTTTGATTGAAGGGCCTAGAAACAGATATTTAAACTTCATAGCAAAATATTCCACGTCAAATAAATAGTACGAGGAAGCCATAACTATAAGTCGGAATCCTCAAAAAATTGAATGAAAGTACAACAAATTAGTTGATTGATTCTCGATAGTACCCATTTCTGGATTTTCTTTTCTTACTTCAATGACATATGTAGTAGTTTTATTGATGGAAAAAACCATAACAAAAATGGACAAATCTTTCAACCATTGACGCGGTCTGCCGCATATGCATATGCTCATGCTCCCCCCACCTATGGCCTATGGGATGAAACTCGAGTAAACTACCATCATCAGACTACAAAGGAATCAAACTTCATTCATGATGTCATGCTCGTACCTACGCTACGCGCCATATCTATTAGCAACTCTTAATTTGCTCTTCAACTCTTTTGACTTCTTTTTTTTTTTTTTTTCCCATACATAAAACACATTTTTCTAGTAATACACTCATTCTGCAGCGGGTTGTTTTGTACTCGCGTCAAATAAATGTTAGGTCACTGGTTTTTGGTATATGGAAGTTGGAAGTTGGAACAACTGACTAGCATACATTGCCTTTAACAGTCGGCAGGCTACACAGTACTACTACACACCCTCCCAATATTTTTGGGAATGCCGAGAACAAAATACACAGCAAAGATTCATGGTGGCTTCTCAGGTGTACAACGTGTAACGTAGAAGCAATTCCAAGATTAATACATACAAGCGTCATATTCTTATACATAATGCAATCTACATGGCAAAGAAATTAGTTGTCAACAAGATCAGAATCCCACCAGTTAAAATAAAAATCAAGAAAGCGACCCCTTTAATGTATAATTCGTATTATTATTATTATAACTTTTCTGTCTCCATATTTTTAGGAGGCAAATGGGGAAATCATGCTGCCATCTCGATCAGAAGGAGTAAGCATGTACGAAAGAGCTAGTATTATGACGATTAATGCTGCTGAAATATTAGTAGTTTTACCCAAGTAGAATTTGACGGCTTCAGTGAGGGAAGGAATTCTGATAGGACGACCAAATTCAGCATCAGCATCGGGGGAGGTGGGGGTGTAGCAGTCGCAGAGGAAGAGGGTGGAAAGAAGGGTGATGAGAGCAAAGATGATGATGGAGAGCGGACCTGCAATCCATCCCAGCTGGGCTGTGCTCCATGCAAGAGACAGCACTCCTGCCCCTATTACTCCCGTTATTATGTGCGCCGTTGCAGTCCACAGCGTCCCTTCAGTTCATTCCACACCCACAAATATTTAGTATTACATTTTCATCATCCAAAGATTGATTTACCAACCAGTCAACTTTCTTGTTCACTCTCTTATCATCATCAACCACAAATATTACCTGTTCTTTTAGAGAGTTCCCGAGAGCTATCGACATCGGATGAATCAGAATTTGTAAGGAGACATGCTGTCTCTTGATGCTCTTCTTGTGCTTCACTTGCAGTAGTAATACCCATATGGCTAGCCTAGAGCCTGGAGGATGGTAGACGTACACTTGGATTAATTTTCTTTCCTTCGGCCACGCGGAATGAAAAAGCCATGTGCAATCTGCAGCTTTTCAAATGCTCATTTTTATAGGTGCCCCAACATATTCATAAAAATAAAATAAAATAAAAATTAGGAGAGAAGTGTTGTAAATTGTGGAGTGAGACGTAAGCTAAGGTCCTTTTCTTGTTTACGTTCGTTTAATTTTCCTCCAGTCTCTAATAATGGAGCAATTGTTTATTGGGACTGGGGAGAGGCTTCGCACGAACACGGTATATCACCTTGTTTGATTGCATTTTTCTAGGTTATTTTAGCAAAATTACTGTAACGATTTGATATATATGAAATAAAATGGTGATTGAAAAATGTGTTTACGAAAAACGTAACAAGTCCAAACAAGGCCAACCCTGTTGCGCTAATGAATTTGACTCCTAACTCCTGTAAAGAGTGAATGGTGGAAATTAACGTTAAGTTTTTTTTTTAAAAAAAAAAGAGTTAAAAAGAATAATAATAAAATAAAGGTGTCATTTAAGTTGCAACTTGTGCAAGAAGGGAAAAAATTGTGAATTGATTAAGTAAAAGGATTTGATTGAAGACTTATTTGCATAAAATTTGATAATCTAACGGCCTATTTGATTACTATATTTAATGCTAGAAATAAGTTTATTAAGATTTTTTTTAATTCTCCGTGTTTGATAACATAAATGTCTATCATTTAATACACATTGCTGGGTAATTTGTGTTTAACATCTAAATGAAAATTTTCCCTAAACTTCAATGACTTGATGTTTTCAACACCAAAATTTTAAGTTCCAGAATTCGGAGTTCAAACTTCAATTGTAATAAACAAACGGTACGAATATATTGGATTTGCTCAGGCACACCATGCGGAGACGCAACACAACAACTAGCGTGCGAAATTAAGCTATTTCTTACGCCTTCTGTTTTTTTGTTTTTGTTGTAACGAAAAGATTCTTTTTATAATCTAATATAGTATAATCTAGAAGGATCGGGGAAGAGGACTCGATGTGAATACAGACTCTATCGAAAGAGGTCCAATTAAGACCACCACATATAGTGATAAATTGGTGGGAGGCATGGGTTGAATTCTTTGGTGGCATTTCTTACGCCATCTGTGAAATTAGGATATTTGATTTTGTTAATTCATAGAGTACGAAATTCACATTGAACCAGTGGTTTGATTTGATTTCATAGAGTGTGATTATTCAATGCGTACCTACCCTTTTACGTTTGACGATTTGAATTTTGATTTGATTTGTCAGTTGCAATTATGAATGGATATCACCACAACTGTCTCCCCCCTCCCTGCAATCCCAAGCTAATCAAGGTTCAAGTACGATAGTAAATAAGTCTAATTAAAACGAACACCGTAATTTTAAAACTTGTTTGATTATTTTAATAAATTTTTAAATTTTGTTCAAGTTTGATTTATTTTTTTTGTTGAATTGAATTCAAAAGAGTTTTTATCAAGTCAAACTCAAGTAATTTGTAATTTTTACATATAAAATTGAACTTTATACTAATCAAACCAAGCTTGAGCCGAACTTGAAAATTTATCAAACATAAAATAAAATGCTATTCAATATTGATTTGATTAGTTGATGAATCAAATTCTAATAAATTATTATCAAATCGAATTCAATTCGCATGTCAAATAGTTTTGATTTATCATTTAAATTTGGGTCAGACAAAATAAATAGATAAATAGATCCAGGCTGGGCTTGGAGCTGTCTCGCCTTTGGAATTAGGGTCAAATATCGTCATCAAATGGCAAATGCTACGTCTTGGGCCGGTGGTGGGGGAAGGGATGATGTCAACCAGAGAAGCGCTAGACTTGGGCTTCAACCGTTGTCAATCCCTCGTGGAATAGAATCCACTACTTAGTGTACACAAAGCCCAAACCTAAAGATGTTGACAGGCAGTGTGATGAAGCTCGGAACTTAACTTGGTGGGAACGTACTACAGTGCGATAGATGTAGCGTACATGAACATGATTGAATCGGTGTTCCCAATTCAAATATTAGGCTTTTTTTTTTATTTTTTGTGTCCTACCATTAACTCTCTCTTATTGTCCATGATATTTAAGGTTTTTAATTTAAAAAAATATATATATATATTTATCAGATAATATACAGTGCTCAAACTACCACTATAGTACGGATGTATTATTTTACCTCTTACAGTCGAGTCACCGTACTCAATTTTACATTTTTGGTTATAAACACCCTCGATGTCACTTTTTTTTAAAAAAAAAAAATTTCAAATTTACCCTCATAATTCACTCAATACACATATTCAACTAATACTCAAATCAATTATAGTAGTCAGTATTATTGATAGCAAAAAATTATCTCAAATGCTCTCCTCTACAAATCCTACTCAACTTGACTAGGCATTTCTTCCTTTATCCTTCTACACACATCACTTAAATCTAATATTGCCCAACTAGTTATATAGACTATAATGTTTATTACTTGGACTTTAATTGCTATTAGGATAAAATTACTGAAATGTAAACTACAAAGTCCACAAGGAACCCACTCCATCTCCTTCATTCCAATCTTTTGCACCAGAGATTGTCCCTTGCCGTGACTTCTTCACCTTTCCGTCGTTGGATGCAACAACCCCCCTGCTGGCTGATTGTGGATTTCCATCACCCATGTCAAGGTTTTTTCCTTGTTTGCTTGATTCGCTATGTCTTCTCAACTTAGTCAATAAATTTTATTGATCGGACACACATCAGACATCGAGTGTGCATTTGATCACTCGTTGTAATAATGAATGACACAGCTAACTAATAATAATCATTGTTGATTTTCTTTGTCAGATGATCTACCCTTCTCTGTGCCTGCTACTTAAGATTAATATGAATAAAGAATATTTAAAGATTGGGAAAATCTTTAAAAAAAAGAAAAAGAAACAGATAAAAATGGCATGTTTTCTGCAACTATGCACCAGTACTTCGGTGTAAACTTTTCTCATCTAAACTTCGCCCTTATCAGTCCTTCAACTGAGCCGATTAAGCCCATTACTGAAATAACCAAGCAAACGAGGCTAAAAGCCTCAAGAAGAACCCATTTTCTTGTCCAAGCGCCAATGCTTTTCTGCACCATGTATATTTCCACGGGGAAGTATATCCCCAGAGACCAAAAGTTCAAGGCCCCCAACACCCCCAGTACTTGGTTGAAGTAAGGGAATAGCATTGCAATTCCAGTTACAGAAACCACATATGCTGTTCTGAAAACAAGCCTAAATATATTAAACTCCAATCTGGAACATAGAGGGAGCTTCAGCTCTAAATTCCTTCCTAGTGTGCTATCTGGGTACTTCGCAGCAAACCATCTTTCCACCATTGCAAAGATTACTTGGCTGTATATCTGGATTGGGATATACGGACGGAGAGAATCAAAACCATCACGTTAGCAGGCCCTGAAACAGTAGTGACGGAACAAGATTCTTGCTACCTATATATTTGACTCTAAAGACCAAAACATTTACCTGATATCCCCCGACGAGGTGCAGTATAATGCAAGCATTGGCGAAGTCGACAAGCCAATAAGGTTCATAGAAGCCAAATCCAGTCAAGAGGTTTCCTGGGGTTTTGTCTCCAAAGGCTGCATATCCAAAGCATCCACAGCACAGGTAAAAGATGGTGGTGGTGACGATTGAAATCCTGGAGGCCTTTTTCATTGTCTGGTCTTCAGATGGAGGTGACTTCAAGGTGTCCTGAATGCAAACAAAAGTTCATAAATCCCTCCAATCAATCTTTAGGGGGCCTCAAAGTTTTTTGGTACCGGAAAAAAAACTATGGAAATCATGAACCAAGTTTGGAATTCTCACCTGTATCTCCAGAAGAATAACTGAATAGGGATAGGCAAAAGCTATGTCCGCAATTCCCTGAAACACTAACCATGACTTTTCTGCTCCGCTGTTTGCTGAAACTCCAGAAATGCTGCCCTTGACCATTCCATTTCCTGCAGAAGTTTTTGTTGAGAGTATATGTACCAAGATAGTCTGAAGTTTTACTCGCGAAAAGAGAGCGTATTACCAATGACTTTTGCCAGGCCAAGTGCCATTCCAATGAAAGCATAGGTGAAGGACATAACAGCAGCAACAACAGACAGCCATGCCATGTTATGGAAATCTGGTATCTGAGACACCACAATCTGAACAGCCCCAAAGATTAGCATGAGCATATTCCTATGGATACGTCCACAACTACTATCGTGCCCTTCTTTGTGATAACAGTTGGATTTCTCTATTGCACTGCAGAAATTGTCGAAAGAGAACAAGAACATCAGGAAAGATTCTGTATTAGGGAGGTATGACCAGAACTCGTATACAAAGTCTCCAGTTTAGAATAAGAATGAAGAAGGAAATAGTAGAGTATTAAACATGAAGTATCGCATAGTAGGATCACCGACTGGTTTAATTAGCTTGCTTCATTTTTCCAATGGCTATTTATGAAGCAGAAAGTGCCATTTGTGTGTAAAAGTTTTTAAAAGAAGAAGTTCTTACGCAAAAACTTCTTCAGAGTTACTCAAATTTAGAACTTTTTCATCTTATAGTAAAGTACCTCTTAAGATTAATAAGAAAAATCCCCAATAGATTTTAACTCAAATATAGCAGCTGTTTGCAGAATCAAAAAAGTGGGAGAGCTTGTAAGTGCACCTAACACTTTGGGTTACCGTAATGGTATATGCAACAGCAGTGCCATATAGGCTCTCCAGCACAAAAAGTGCACATATCTTCTGTCTCTTCTCTCCTGAAATTGATTTCAATCTGTCAAATATTTACCAGGTAATTCTTCTGAACTTGTGAACTTTAAGGACAGTTTACCATAAGTAAATGATACGAGCAAGCTATTAGACAATTAGTATTTTTTTAACCAAAAGATTGAACAGTACACATTTATTAAATCTTAATACGTCTTTGTGCAGCCTAACTGCGTCTATATTCCCTAAATTGATGTGTCACGGGACTCTTAACGGACAGTAACAAATACAGGGATTCCTTTAGTATCTTCAGCAATAAAAGGCCACTAAAAAGGGATCCGAAAATCATTCCACTAATCCTCATCATCCAATGAAAGTTTGTTCCTTCAATGTACAGGAAAATTAAGAGAAACATTACTAAATTCCTACTAAAAAGAATGATAAATCAACAAGTAAACGGCCCCTCCTTTCTCATTCTGAATATTATATTGTTTCTGGAAACATCATCAAGGGACCAAGGCCAATGTTAAACTTAGTGACTACTTACCCAAGAAGAATTTGACCGCTCCGGTGAGGGAAGGGTGCCTAATTGGACCCTTCTCGGGATCAGGAGTCAAGTAGCACTCGCAGAGGATGAGAGTGGAAAAAAGGGTGATGAGTGCAAAGAATATCATGGACAATGGACCTGCAATCCAGCCTAGCTGGGCAGTGCTCCATGCAAGTGACAAGACACCTGCCCCTATCACACCTGTTATTACATGTGCTGTTGCAGTCCATACTGTCCCTGCAATTGCAAATGCGTTGCGAAACAACAAAGTCAGTAGACAGGGGGGTGGGAAGTGGGAGCAGTGAGATTCAGAACTCTCATTCTAGACGAGGAAGAAACAGCTTCAAACATCAGGCTACATGACTGAGTCAAAAAAGAACTCAAGAACTTAGACAGGAGATCATCATTTACCTGTTCTTTTGGAGGGTTCCTGATCAGGAACTGCAGATTGTTCAACCTCGAAAGGTTCTGAGTTGGTCATGAGAAACGCTGCTGTTTCTTCGTAGTAGCCCTCTGTGTCATCCCTATTAATAATACCAGTGGCTCCTACTCTCTTTAGGGGAATGTCATTTTTCAACTCTCTGTCCTGCGGCACCAAATCGCCATCAGATTTCAATCCAGAGATCTCCAAATATCGCATCTTTGGAAGAACGCGTTGACCAAACTAGCAAGAGTCCTTTTCTCTATTTTTCCTGCGTTTAGTATCCTATTCTATATATTATTGTGTCTGGAACGGGACGGCCGCTGCCTGTTGTTGAACCTCGCTTTCTTTCTTTCTCTCTTTCTTTCAAACTCTGAGAGCTAAGGGTTAGGACCGCAGTCCCGACATGACCATTTTCACCAACTTGTTCTAAGATCTAGCACTTTCTGCTTTGCAGTAATTGCACTACTATGTACGGGTTAATAGGGGGTTTAAAGCATTTTTTTTTTTTTAAAGCATTTATTTTCCCCCCCAAAACTCTCCACACACTGTTGAGATCTATGTTTGCCTAACTTTGATTTAAGATCTAGATTTAACCAACCATCTACGAGTTTGACTTTTAAGAATACAAGTCGTGAAAGGAAGGCTCAATGCTACAGGGAAAAAGAAGCCAACAACATTTATTATTATTATTAATTTTCGAAACAAATACAGCTGAATTGATTCATTAACAATAATCTTGCTTAGAACAAATTGCAGAACTGAGGTTTAAGCAGCAGTAGCCATGCCAGATTTTCGAAACCAAGTTGTTGGAGAATTGCGAATTCATATGTACCATAATATACTTGCTTGCTGACGATGACTAAACTGAAATAGATTGCCAAACGAGTGAACTAAATTTAATTTGTTTGATTCTCCAAAATTAGCTTGTAACCAGCCAGAGTTTCTCGTCTCATTGTCGTCTAAATTATTGATCTTTTTGACTCGAGCGTTGCTGCATAAGTAAACACTCGTCTCGTCCGAGTCCATCCATGGTAATTGGCGGTCCTAAATTGCAGCTAAAAAGATCTTTGAGCACTCGGAGACCAAGAACCCACAACTGGGGCGGGGCACGTAATTGACTAGTGGTAGTTTTGTGCAAATCAATTCTCTCACAGTCGTTGAATCTGACATATTTTTATTGCATTAGCCTGTCTGTCTAATTCCTATATTCGCTGCTGCATTTGCGACTTTTCAGTCGTCCGGACGACTCAGAAACTGGCATGGCTCCCTTTGTTTTGGACTCTTTTTTCAAGTGTCGTGTCGTCTGGACGCCAAACGGATGCGATTGGGGGACCAGTGGCTGGCGGGGGGTTTGTTTCATTGACCAACAATTTATGGAAGAAGAAATGGAGAGAGGATAAAAACGAAAAACGAAAAACGAAACGAATCCTCACCACTTGACTTGATATATGCGTATGCGTGCCAAGTGTTCTGTTCTCTGCTGACTGCTCCTTTCCTTGTCTGAATATGGCGTAGCCAACTATTATTATTAAAAAATGAAGGAACCGTCGTGTCTTTTGGTAGTAGTATTTCATAGCTATGTATGTCCAAGACAAGAAGAATCCGGACAATAAAAAAAAGATGAAAGTTTCAACTTTAAAGGAAACGAATATAAATAATATGTTAGCAAGAAAAATTAAAACCAACAAATTTCCAGAACTACTTAAATCATGATGAAAAGGTAGATGTAAATGCCTATAGGAACTTTTCGACCCAAAAAAAAAAAGAGAGGCAAGAAAAGGACCCACGATCCAAATGAGCAGTACAACTGACTGAAAGAGTAAAAATGCAAAAAATAATTGAAGAATAATGACAACGGCCAGTAGAAACTACTGCTATGACAAAAGAAATGAACAGTTTTACCTAGTAAGTAGTACTATTGTCGAACATGGACGAAGGGCAGCAGGCTGATGAGTGACGATGGATGTCAGGTCACTGCACTAGCTGTCTGTGTGTATCCTTTTGCGTATCAGTCCGCGACTAATTAATTTTGTTGTCGTCTGTTGTATTTCTGCAATTTTGTGATGATAACCCACAAAAAAGCATATTCAATTCAAAAAAGATCTCTTTGCATGCATAATAAACTAGTCATGAATGAGGATAGCTTTATAGGATAGTACCGTAGTCATGAGTATCACTTTCAGATGCTCATTTGAATCATCCCTAAAAAGATTCCCGACATATTAGTATGTACATGTAATAAAGATGTTGAGGTTAGCAAAGTTGAAGTTGGCGATGTTGAATAGCATGATTCAACTTGCGTATTTCAGTGGATCAAGAAAAGTACTGCTCATTCAACCGTCACCGCAAACAATTGCTTGTTAATTTGTTCCTTCAGATTTTAGCATCAAGTGCAAGAATTCAACTAGAAAATATTTGGGCCTGCAAGTGAAGTTGGATCAATAATATGTATTGCACAAACCCAACGGAGAAGCTACAAGAAGCAAAGTCAAAAGTTGCTACGAAGCTAAATCCCATCATGCCCAAAAGCGCTCCGCCCACTATGATCCCTGCTCCTGCTTCTCCTAAGATCAGGGTCGAGCCCCATAACTTAAGTTTTGCTGTAGATGATAAGATGATCGAGTCCAAGGAATTACTCTATCATTTATTTGTTGGGTTTTAGGGACACTACGCAGCGGAAAAATAAAAAATTTTCCCTAAAACCATCCAGGAATCACCCTAAATTTTACGTATGATGTACAAGAAGTAGGGTTTTAGGATTACCTTAATCCAAGCGGCGTCTCCCTGCAGCGTTGTTTGAGGATGGTCAGCCCTTGAGCAGTCCAATCGTCCTGCCTCTACTGATATCCACGCTAGAGCAACCCTGGATCGTCTCACGAACTATGTATTGAAGAGAAAAAGGTGCTAGCCTTTTTTACTCTTTTCAAACGTATATTTTTCTCTCTTTTGTGTGTGACAATCACAAAACCTTTTTTCTTTAGTATCTGTATCTCAATCCCCAAAACCACAATTGGAAAAACCAGAGAGATCTATGATGAGAGAGATATATGATGATATAGAATGATAAGTCTTCTTGTCTGATTCAAAATCAAAACCATAAGACTTCTCATCACACAAGACTCTATCTATCATTATCTGATAGATAAGAGATAACCATTTACTCTTATCTGCTCAAAAAGGCCTGGGATTAATTTTCTTTTAAAATTAAACCCCTATAATACACATAGTTTCAATCCAGGATTAAATCTCTATTGCGTGTGACCCAATAGGTCCCGAATACATTGGTAATAATTATGGTTTAATAATTAGATAAAATAAACGACTTTATTTTATCATAACTTATAATATATAATTAATCCATAATTATAAATCACGAGCGGTGTCTAGCAACACATCGTGATTGCCCAATTATTCGGAATTAGTCAAGGGAATTTGACCTAACCTTTCCGTGAAAAATTACCGTGTAATTATTATCCTTTCACCAAAGAAATCCAATTAGTCAGGAATAAGGAATAAGTGTCAATTCCCTGATGACTAATTAAATTTTCTAGTTCCCGAAATTTACCCTTAATTAGGTTAAATTGAAGACATTCTTCAATTTACCTAATAGTCGACTTTAGGGTTAATTTCTCACTAGTGGCCATCCGGATATCAACTCCTTCTATCAGAGTGGTAAATCCTATCTTGATCACCCATTTTCTTTATGTGCTTCACACTACATCCAACTTCTACACTTTAAGGTACTCACGAAGAGTAACAAGTAAATAGAGTCAAAATGTAGCGATTCACACTCAAGATACTATGGTGATCTCAAGTCGTAGGATCACTTACACAATTTTTCACTAGAGATACACCATTGGCACTAGATAGATATCCTGACGGGATCTCTAAACGGATCACTCCAATGCATTTGTACTTTTCAAATCATCTATACATTAGCCTAAGTATCTTCATACCATAGTTGATGAGAACAACCACTAATTACATTAATTAGAGGCTAACTGTGTACTAGTTTTACCGTACTAAAGACGTCCTATTTCATTAGTACAAAAACTAGGGAATTTTAATAATATTACTATAAATGTGATTGATATCTCATAGTCACCAACTCTTGTGACTATCATCACATTAGTAATATTATAAGGACTTTATCGGTTGTATCTAATAGAGTATTTAACAGATAAATAAGAAGTTATTAAAATACAAAACATATAATAAGGAATGTATAATATAAAAACAAATACATTGTTTTAGGGCATACATTCCAACATTATTTTCGTTATGGAATATCTTTGTCTCGTTCATAAGATGAAATGGTAAAAAATCTAGGAGTATGAAGCAAAAGGTTCTTCGAGATGATGGGTTTGCGAAACATATAGAGCCTATCCAATCCAAAACCATCCGCTGATTTTTGGGCATGCCATCTTTTACCGTTGCAACGAAATAGTAGTTGTGTTAAAGGAGGTTTACAGAGTTCTAAATTAATGGGGCCCGGCCTTCAATGCTGTAACTAATTGTTTAGACTTCAATGTTGATGGTCCAGAGGTACAACTCTCTCTCTGGGACTGAGAGATCGAGGGTTACCAATCCAGAGGCTTCTTCAAAATGAAACTGGACTTCCTCTGTGTCAACTGTGATTCTTTTGGGTCTGACTGATGAATAGGCTCCAAAAGTACCACATCCCCGTGTTTTGATGCGTATGTTCCCCGCATCAACCTTTTCATAACCTACTTCTTTGACCGCTCCACCTGAATTGAACATCCTGATGAGGCCTATAGGAGCGAATCGAGAACCATTTGATGTTTCCTTGACAGGAACAACCGTGAAAACCTCGTACTCCCGTGCCATCAGTGTAATTGGCAGAGCAGCATTGCTTGGAAGGTAGACTAGATTTCCTGCAGTAGATAACAAAGCAAATTAAAGAAAAATTCAACTAAGCCTTTGATGAAAAAGGGCGGGCGCGTGTTTCAGTTCCACCATGAATATGAGAATAGACAACAGCATCGCCTCTCCATCCATCAGGAGCAATTCTTGGTAAGTAGTCCACATCATTAGCCCGAACGGTTCCAGTTATTGTATCCGGTCGTTCGTCGTGAATGAGGTTTCTCTTTCCAATTCTACACCATCTAGCCCCTTGACAGTTGAACACTCCAATCACTCCATTCAAATCATTGAGATTCCAAATCTTTAGTAAACTGCAAATATGTCACAAGGCGTTATTAGCGATTACAACAACTTCAAAAATGAAGGGTGCTATTGCGTGTGACCCAATAGGTCCCGAATACATTGGTAATAATTATGGTTTAATAATTAGATAAAATAAACGACTTTATTTTATCATAACTTATAATATATAATTAATCCATAATTATAAATCACGAGCGGTGTCTAGCAACACATCGTGATTGCCCAATTATTCGGAATTAGTCAAGGGAATTTGACCTAACCTTTCCGTGAAAAATTACCGTGTAATTATTATCCTTTCACCAAAGAAATCCAATTAGTCAGGAATAAGGAATAAGTGTCAATTCCCTGATGACTAATTAAATTTTCTAGTTCCCGAAATTTACCCTTAATTAGGTTAAATTGAAGACATTCTTCAATTTACCTAATAGTCGACTTTAGGGTTAATTTCTCACTAGTGGCCATCCGGATATCAACTCCTTCTATCAGAGTGGTAAATCCTATCTTGATCACCCATTTTCTTTATGTGCTTCACACTACATCCAACTTCTACACTTTAAGGTACTCACGAAGAGTAACAAGTAAATAGAGTCAAAATGTAGCGATTCACACTCAAGATACTATGGTGATCTCAAGTCGTAGGATCACTTACACAATTTTTCACTAGAGATACACCATTGGCACTAGATAGATATCCTGACGGGATCTCTAAACGGATCACTCCAATGCATTTGTACTTTTCAAATCATCTATACATTAGCCTAAGTATCTTCATACCATAGTTGATGAGAACAACCACTAATTACATTAATTAGAGGCTAACTGTGTACTAGTTTTACCGTACTAAAGACGTCCTATTTCATTAGTACAAAAACTAGGGAATTTTAATAATATTACTATAAATGTGATTGATATCTCATAGTCACCAACTCTTGTGACTATCATCACATTAGTAATATTATAAGGACTTTATCGGTTGTATCTAATAGAGTATTTAACAGATAAATAAGAAGTTATTAAAATACAAAACATATAATAAGGAATGTATAATATAAAAACAAATACATTGTTTTAGGGCATACATTCCAACATTATTTTCGTTATGGAATATCTTTGTCTCGTTCATAAGATGAAATGGTAAAAAATCTAGGAGTATGAAGCAAAAGGTTCTTCGAGATGATGGGTTTGCGAAACATATAGAGCCTATCCAATCCAAAACCATCCGCTGATTTTTGGGCATGCCATCTTTTACCGTTGCAACGAAATAGTAGTTGTGTTAAAGGAGGTTTACAGAGTTCTAAATTAATGGGGCCCGGCCTTCAATGCTGTAACTAATTGTTTAGACTTCAATGTTGATGGTCCAGAGGTACAACTCTCTCTCTGGGACTGAGAGATCGAGGGTTACCAATCCAGAGGCTTCTTCAAAATGAAACTGGACTTCCTCTGTGTCAACTGTGATTCTTTTGGGTCTGACTGATGAATAGGCTCCAAAAGTACCACATCCCCGTGTTTTGATGCGTATGTTCCCCGCATCAACCTTTTCATAACCTACTTCTTTGACCGCTCCACCTGAATTGAACATCCTGATGAGGCCTATAGGAGCGAATCGAGAACCATTTGATGTTTCCTTGACAGGAACAACCGTGAAAACCTCGTACTCCCGTGCCATCAGTGTAATTGGCAGAGCAGCATTGCTTGGAAGGTAGACTAGATTTCCTGCAGTAGATAACAAAGCAAATTAAAGAAAAATTCAACTAAGCCTTTGATGAAAAAGGGCGGGCGCGTGTTTCAGTTCCACCATGAATATGAGAATAGACAACAGCATCGCCTCTCCATCCATCAGGAGCAATTCTTGGTAAGTAGTCCACATCATTAGCCCGAACGGTTCCAGTTATTGTATCCGGTCGTTCGTCGTGAATGAGGTTTCTCTTTCCAATTCTACACCATCTAGCCCCTTGACAGTTGAACACTCCAATCACTCCATTCAAATCATTGAGATTCCAAATCTTTAGTAAACTGCAAATATGTCACAAGGCGTTATTAGCGATTACAACAACTTCAAAAATGAAGGGAAGCACCAAACAAAGCAAAACTCAACCTTTTTCCGTCTCTAGCAGGATCTGAAAACAGGCAATCCCTCGTCGGCCTTCCTGGAAGTTTAGCCCTCAGGATGGAACCATCAGGAAGCACGAGCTTCCTCAAGAGATTGAAGTCATGCTGCCCGGGCTTGTCACTGAATATTATAAAGAATCGTTCGACATCAGAGCGTGTCACCACATTAATAATTTTGTAGCGTAGCATCAATCATATATTAGATTAGAGGAGTAGCACGCCACCTGACATAAATAGCACAACCTCCAACTGCCCGTGCTGCTCCATGGTATTCAGCCATTGGGTGCAAGCTCTAAATTGTAGTAGTAGTAGTAGTATGACAAATGAAGTTCAGCAATCGAAGTTACAGAAATCTGAGAAAAATTCAAGCTATCCTAACCGACATGGGACTTCTGTAATCAAAGGCTTACGTGAAACATATCCCAATCTGGCTGCATGAACTCGCCCAGGAAGACGGTGTTATAAGCAACTGATGCTATGTGAATTGTGTGGGAGGCAGGATCTCTTGGCCAAAAATCATCTGATGCTCTAACTACTGCACTTCTCTTGGCACTACAAGCATCCAAAATAATCTCATATCAGATCATTGTCTCCCGTGTGTACCCTTTGCGTCGCGTCAGACTCAGTGAAGTACTGCAAGTACCCAAAGTCAAAAATGGGAAATGGAAGATTACTTTTACCTGTACAAACCGTCTGTGTTGTGACTCATACAAGAAATAATTCCATTATCGGGAAAATTCCGAGAAATTGAAGCCTCTAATGCTTGATGGTACTTCCTTGCTAGTCTGATTCTTCCACCATGGCCTGCTCCAAGGGTTTCGAGGATGTTCTGAACATCAACTTTAACCCCATCGATGCCAGCAGAGGCGAGATATGAGTGCAGCTCATTATAAAAGTTGAACACTTTCTCAGGGTTCACAAGGCCTAGCCCATTTTTGGCAATGCAATCCAGAGCATCACAGGCTTCATTTGATTGAACCCCTGGAGAGGAAATCGGATAAGCCATCTGAGATTCATAGTGATCCATCTCAGTGACACCAGGCCTCACACCACCCCAATACCCAGTGATTGCATGCCAGACATAAGCATACCTACAAGGGCATCATGGTACCTGAGTTAACAAGTGCCTATGAAGTAAAGTACAGAGGGGACAGAACGAAAGACTTCATACTTCAGAGCATATGCATCTTTAATTTCTGTGACGAGATGGCGAAGTCCCATGGCAGGATCTTCCAATCTGTGACCCTCCTTGCCATTCTTTTGGAATTTGTGGTTCTCTTTGATATGAGTTAGCCTATTTGCAAAACTGAAGAGAGAAACAGGAATTGCAAATATTCAGCTTGGTTGATTGAATCTCGCAAATTTACTAATAAAATACGGTTTTCACTTTGAGCACTCACTTAGCCGCATTGTTAGCTTTGAATTCAAAACTAGTAGGATCCATCCCAACAGATTGCCATCCATCGTCAATGATGATAAACTTTGGGGGAATCCCACCTTTCTCCAAACTGCAAGAAAATGCTGTTGATCATCAACATGTCATACTAAGTCCATTTGCAGCAGATTAGATGTCTAGATTGGTTTTTGTTAAGATACCTCTCTAAACCTTGCTTAACTCCCTCTGAAGTAACATCAGTGTAGAAAGCATCCCACGTACACCACCCAAACCAATTTAACATGTCCGGCATCTGATGACGAAAGGAACATATTAAGGAGATGCATCAAATAGCAAACAGCATCATAATACTCCTTGACAACAGATGTTATGTTAATACCTTCTTCCTATCACGATGAGAAAAAGTCTGTAGGTGTCTCTCCACACTCCTATACACGTATATTCACCAAGAAGTCGGTTAGAATTTCTGGACAGACATGCAGCTATGGCTTAGAAGTTAGATCTACATATATGTTCCCAAACTTCAGTTTTTAGCAGAAACAAGCAGAACAAGATTTATGCCAAGATTCTAGACCATAACTTGAGAACAGAAAAAACTAGCCTGCCAAAACGAAACTTTAGAGCAAGACATCGAGTGATATCTCCGTGGAAGAATCAGCAAACGCAATAATAGAACAACACAAAGATGGTAGAGCATACTTGACTGCATTAGTGATAACATCAAATGGGTCTGATCCAGCAGCCACGAAAACTAAATGGCTTCCCTCAAATTCTTGGACAGCAGGATCACCTGAATTTAGTGCAAAGTAAGAACCCGAATATAAAAAAAATTTGAAAAAAAGGGGGAGAAAAGTTAGCTTTACATTATTTGCTTTCAAGATACAAACGACTACAAAACAGTAGGAAACAAAATGGGAGGTAATCCAGTGCAAAGTCCATACCGCTTTCTAAGCAGATCTCCAACTCATCGTTGGCATTCCCCTGAAGAACAGCCCTGAAATCACCTTCTAGAATAGGCAAGAAAACAACGTATGTTGCGGACTGGCCACCGCCATCTTCACCAAAATGGGAGCCCTCTTGACCCTCAACAATCAAGAATTGTGTCTCAAATGGTATTTCTTGGCCAGCTGTCCCCATTCTCTGAGTCATCCACCACATCTTAAACCGGAAAACACACATGAAACGCAACCCCCTGTAAGACAAACCACCCAAACATCACTACACATGCAAATAAAATTTTTATACGAGATCCACACCTCCCCTTTCACCCAAAAACCTAAATAAAGCAAGGTTCACCTCTGTGAGCTAAGAATCCCACGAAAAAAATGAAGGAAAGCGAGCAAGAAACATGATAGGAAAAAAGTTCAATTTGTGGTGAGACTGGCGCCTTATCCGGTTGAGAACACACCAATCATTCTGTGTATTGTGAGTGATGTGTGATATTACGATAAAAAGTGATTTTTCCAAGAATTTGCTCATTAATGATTAGTAAAAAATTAGAGAACATACTGGAGTTTGCCAACAGGGAAG